CCCCCCGCCCCCCGGGACCCCAGGGTGCGGCTTGCTGCTTCCTTTCCTTCCCTCTAACGGAATGACTTTTTCTTTTTTGAGGATAGCTCAGTCTGGCCCCGCAGTTACCATGCGGAATGACTTCTTTTTCCTTTTAGAAAATACCTCGGGCTGGCCCCGCACTGGAACGCGGAGGATGACCTTGAACTTCTGCTCCTCCAGCCTCCTCTTCTGGCTTTTTGTTTTGTTTAGACAGTTCGAGCATTTATTTAGCAAAGCTCAGCCAAGTAAACACTCCAAAGAAAGACAGTAGTGGGCTGCCCCAAGGGGCAGCAGCCGATTTTGTTTAGTTTTGACACAGGGTTGTGTTTTGCCGCGTAGCTCAAGTTGGCTTCAAACTCTCAGATCCTCCTGCCTCAGCCTCCAAAGTACTGGGGTGGTAAGGATGGCCCACCACACCCTGCTTTGGGTTTTTTGGTTCCTTTTATTTTATATGGATGAGGGTTTTGCCTGCATACATCTAAGTGCACCCATGCCTGCGATGCCCACGCAGGTCAAAAGAGGCTATCAGGAACTGAACCCAGGTCATCTGCAAGAGCAGTCAATGCCCTTGACATCTGGGCCATCTCTCCAGCCCTGATTTTTGTGTTCTTTTGAGACAGGGTTTTGCTTTGTAGCCCAGGTTGGCCTGGAACTCTTGGCAATCCTCCTGTCTCCTGAGTGCTGCAATTATGAAAAAGATTTTAATCACAGTTAAGAGTCACTGAACCACAAATATGCTGTTTAGTACCTAAAAAAGAAGCCATGTGTGCAGGTACCCACTTGGCTGCAAACAACTGTCAGTAACTCCAGTTCCAGGGGCTCTGACGCCCTCTCCTGCCTGCATAGGTGCATTTACATACATCATGTAGGCAAAAAAACACTTATGCACATAAAATAAATATAAAATTTTTTAAAGTAGTGTAAAAAGGGTGTTGGGAAAAACAAAACACAGACTTTACTTCATAACAAAGTACCAATATCATTTCATTAATTGTGCTAGAAGTATACTAATGATGATATTGATGATAGCCATAACAGAAACTGGATGTATCTTTGCATGCCTAAAACAATTGTTTTTGAAAATGGAGGAAAAAATACAGTAATGAGCTGGGAGGTGAGGTGGGAGGCATGGTGGTACATGCCTGTAATCCAAGCACTTGGAAGGCTGGGGCAGGAGGGTTGGCAAGAGTTGAAAGCCACAGGCTGAGCCCTGTCTCAAAAGTAAAATAAAAAGTAAATTATTATAAAATTCAGTAATAAGCCATGTGTGGTGGTGCACGTCTTTAAACCCAGCACTTAGGAGGCAAAGGTATGCAGATCCAGGCCAGCCTGATCTACACAGGAAGTTCCGAGCCAGCTGAGGCTATAGGGAGACTCTGTCCCAAGAAAACAAAAAAAATAAAGTTAAAAGCAGTAATGGATTCAGTGATACCATACCCAACACCACCAAAATATTCCTGAGTCCCTCCGTGTGCTCTGAACACTTAACATGAGATATTTATCATTTTCTGGTAAGAGTATCAAAGAATTTGTAAATATCCAAATTCATCACATTGTATGCATTACACGTGTGCAGGATTTCTTTCATGCGCCAATTACACTCAGTGTAATCTTTTTTTCCTTCTACTTTTCTGCGACCAGGTCTTGCACTGGTATCCCAGGCTAGCCTCAAAAGTTAACCCTACTGCCTCAACGTCCCAACTGCAGCAAAATGACTCTCTGTTGTGGCCTAACGGCACTGCCTCATGGTGCTTAACAGCCCTTTGCAAATCAAAAAAAGAAGAAGAAAGAGGAATCTGGTGTGTGGGTTTTCGCAACATTGGAAAATTGCTTCCCTAAGAAGCACTTTAGCTACTAAGGCTCACGTGGGTGTGAACATGCTGGGAAACTGTTTTTATGGCAATCTTATAGTGGGTTACTCCTGAGCACAACCTCAGAACGATTAAGTTCTGTTTTTTTCTAAGTATAACATCCTTGAAAACTCACAACCTTAGTCTGAAATTCTTCTCTCAAATATAACCGGGTTCCTCTGACAGATCACTCAGAAGATAGTTACGGACTTGTTTGGGGATGATCGCCTTGCTTCCTTTATTAAATGTTTCATTTATATATTTTTAATATTTATTGTTTTATGTATACGAGTGTATTGCCTGCATGCACCTGTGTTGTGTTGTGCAACACCCGCAGAGGTCAGAAGAAGGCATTGGATCCCCTGGAACTGGACTTATGGAAGGTTGTTAGCCAACATGTGGGTGCTGGGATCTAAACCTGGGTCCTCTGCAAGAGCAGCCAGTGTTCTTAACCACTGAGCCAGCTCTCCAGCCCTCATTTATATATTTTAATTAATAACTATTTCTTTTCTTTTTTGTATTTTTGAGACAGGGTCTCCTTGTAGCCCCAGCTAGCCTAGAACTCACTCTGTAGACCAGGCTGGCCTCAAACTCACAGAGATTCGCCTGCCTCTGCTTCCCAAGTGCTGGGATCAAAGGTGTGTGCCACCACACCCAGCCTGATAAACACCTATTTCTAGCAATGTACATGTTCAGCTGAACAACTAAAAATCTACAGCAATTACCATAATGTTGAGAGAGTCTCCCATAGCCTGCCCCTTCAGGAGCTGGAGGAAGATGTCAGGAGCTACTATGTTGAGGACAGCATTTGGACCAGTGGGTGAGGATTATGGTCACTTGCTTTCCAACAACTCCTTAGCTGTGCTGTATTGGGCAGGGTTAGAAGTCCATATCACACACCGTCAAAATGAACTCCAAAGTCATACGTAAAACAATAAGAGCTAGAAAAATGCCTTATGGTTTGTTTGTACTTAAGAACTTGATCTTGGGCTGGAGATGCGGCTCAGCTGGTAGAGCAGTGGCCTAGCACCCTTGAAGCCCTGGATTAGATCTGCAGGTGCATGGTGCCAGCCACCCTAATCCCTCCCTCAGGAGGTGGAGGCAGGAGGGTCAGAAGTTCAGCATCTTTCTCAGCTTCTCAGTGAGTCTGAGGACAGCCTGGGCTACTTGAGATCCTATCTCAAAACAAAAAGTTGGGGCAGGGTAGGGGGAGATATGGAGCTGGCCCAGTCAGTAAGGTGCTTACCAGGAAAGCAGTGAGGATCTGGGTTTGACCCCCAGAACTCATGTAAAAGGCAGGGTGTGGCTGTGTGCACCTGTAACCCAGCGCTGGGAAGGTGGAGAAGGCATCCCTGGGCCTTGCTGGCCAGCCAGTCCAGCTGCATTGATGACTATCACACTCCAAGTTCTGTAGGAGACCCCCTCTCAAGATTAAGGTGGAGGTTGCTGGAGAGATGCTCAGCAGTTAAGAGCACTGGCTGCTCTTGCAGAGGACCTGGGTTTGATTTCCAGCACCCACATGGCAGCTGACAACTGCCTATAACTCCAGTTCCAGGGGACTCTGACCTCCTTGAATATTGCACTAACATAGGTGCACTTACATACATGCAGGCTATACACTCATACACATAAAATAAAAATAATATTCTTTTTTTTAAAAAAAGTGTAGGGAGGTGGAGAGATGGCTCAGCAGGTAAGAGCACTGGCTGTCTTGCAGTAGACCTGGGTTTGGTTCAGCACCCATATGATGGCTAACAAAGGTGCCTAACCACAGTTCCAGGGGACACAATGTCCTCTTCTGGTCTCCGAGGGCACTGCATGACATGGGTGCCCCTACATATATAAAGACAAAACACTCATACACATAAAATAAAATAAATAAAATTAAAACTAAGTAAAGTGGAGAGAGCAATGGAGGGAAGCACCTTGAACTTTCACATACATACGCATACATGTAAGAACACATGTGCACACAAAACATATATACACAGATACACATAAGAAATAAAAGTTTAAGCTGGTGCACACCTTTAATCCCAGCACTTGGGAGGCAGAGGCAGGTGGATCTCTGTGAGTTCAAGGCCAGCCTGGTCTACATAGTGGGTTCCAGGACAGCTGGGGCTACAGGGAGACCCTGTCTCAAAAAAAGACAAAAAGAAAGAAAAGTTTAAAAAGTAAATTGCTGAATGGAAGGAACCTTTCTAAGGCAAAAGGAAGAGGCTCTAAAAGAAAAGGAAGAGATTGAGAGAACTGACTGCACTAAATGCTTAAATTTTACAACAGTTAACAAACTAAAACACCATCAACATGTGAGAAGGCAAATGATAACCAGAAAGCAAAAACTCATAAAGAGCATGAAGGAGCTCAGCAAACCAGCAATGCGCACAAATGGCCAGCGAGCACAGGGCGTAACATGAAGGAGCTCAGCAAACCAGCAATGCGCACAAATGGCCAGCGAGCACAGGGCGTAACGCTTGCACTAAACAAACAATCAAATGGACAAGCCAAGCTTAGTGACTCATGCCTATAATTCCAGCACTTTGAAGACTGAGGCAGGAGAATTTTCATGACCTCAAGGCCAGCCTGGGTTACACAGTGAGCTCCAGACTAGCCTAGGTTAAATGGTCAGACTGTATCTCAGAAACCAAAATAGACAAACAAATAACAAGCTAAGATATTTTTCAAAAACTGGACTGGAACTTGCTATGTAGACCAGGCTGGTCTAGATCTCATGGAGATTCGCCTGCCTCTGCCTTCTGAGTGCTGGGATTAAAGGTGTGAGCCACCATACCCAGCTAAATATGTTTTTAAGAAGAAGGTAGTATTCTAGCACAGGGAAACTTATACAAGTTCAAATAAATTATATGAAAAATCTTTTAAAAATCTTATTTCGATTTTTATCTAGAAAT